AGAAATCTCTATCACGTGTCAGACTTGTCAAAGTATGGCAACGGGTTAACTATAAAAATAAAACGCAAAGCTCGAAATAATCGTATCTGCTCTCCAATTCCTTTGATTTCGAAAAATTTAATAATGTTTAATAAGAAAATTTAATAATAATAATAATAATAATAATAGTGTCAATAAGTGACAATTCCTTCGATTTCGAAAAATTGAATATTTAATAAGAAAATTTAATAATAATAATAATACTAATAATAATAATAATAGTGTCAATAAGTGACAATTCCTTCAATATCGAAAAATTTAATATTTAATAAGAAAATTTAATAATAATAATAATATCAGTGTCAATCATATCAGTAGTGAATAATAACAATAAATAATCAGTAGAAGACAAAAAAAGCAAATCAATTTCGGAGAATAAAAATAGGTCGGTTAACATTAAAACTACCAAACCGGACGAAACGACTAATTTTAAATCTTCCCTTTTACGGTTCTAAACATTAAAAAATGTTTCCATAAGAAACGCTTCGACACGATTCTTTAATCAACTATATATTCTAATAAAAATCGTATAAAGTTTAAGCAAATCCAATCTTGTCATCGTTATAAAACAATACATAAATCAGTCGTGTTTAGAGCTCGACATCTCTCGAGTGTTAAAAAAACGGGCCCACATCTTGGATCAAGTTGAACTTAAATTTTCCACGTCGACAGGTGTTTTTACATTTTCTGAATAGAGCGCGTTTCAAGTAAGAAACTGTTTCCTTTCGTAAACGCTCGCAAGCACTCTGGAAACTTTCCGCGTTAAGCAATCCTGTGCGCCGGTGTAGGAACGCCGTGGAAAACGGCGTGCAAAGGCGGCAATTGCGACAGAGCCTGTTTCGAGATTCGCTTAATCGCCGGGCCTTGAGGGCCTAGACCCAGTTACTCGAATTGCATTAGACGCTTCTCGTACCCCCTAGCAATGAGGCCCCGCGGGCACGGCAACATTTCGGCGACATTTCGTTAACGACCGATCGCACCACTTTCTCGGAATATTTGCATCGAACGAGACACAACCGTTGTAAAAAACGTGGCCAGAGAATCGAACGCGAAATCTAATCCACGGAGCCGCCGTTGAAAAAACGTACCGAATAAAGTATATATTAGTATATTAATAGTAGTATATATTAAATATATAGTATAGAGTATAAATATATATTAATTATTATTAATATACTATTAATAGTATATTACTATTATATATTATATTATTATTATATATATTACTATTATTAATATTAATATACTATTAATAGTATATTATAATAGTATATATATAATATATTATATTAATATACTATTAATAGTATATTAATATTAATAACAGTATATTAATAATAATTAATATATATTTACACTCGGATAAAGAGAAAGTGTATTGTATATTTTATTATTTGAACAAACGCAACGTATTTTGGAGATTTCTGGAACAGTTGAATCGTTCTTACAACTTAAGTACTTTCGAATATATTGAATGAAAACGTTTAATTTAGATTGCTGCTTTTCGTTAAAAAAAGACAATTTCGAGCAACGTTAATACCAGTTGCAACGGGAACGTTGTGCATTGAAATCGGCACTTAATAAAGTATTGCGAAAACAAGATTATTTTCCCTCGTAACACGGTAACAGAAAAACCCCGGTGAACTACTTTCTACCGTGGTTGCACGAAAAATTGCGATTTCGGCGTGTTTCCCTTGTTAGTACCTTCATTAAGAAGTTAGAGCCGCCTGCCGTCGCGCGCCGCGTTTTCTCCTTATTAATATATTTACGATGGTAATCTCGATGTGCCAATACTTTCGTCCAGCGCGGACGCGCGTATCGCGAATTCCTTTATTGCGTATGTTAAGAAAACGGTTTGCTTAATCGGGTTTCGTGCACGAACGTGTGTGTCCCTCCCGCGCGATCCGCGCCGCCGTGGCGCGACATTAAACGATATGAAAATTGACAATGGAACGCGAGCGGCCGCCGCGTGGATCGCTGCCGCTGAACAGAGAAAGAGAGAGAGAGAAAGAGAGAGAAAGAGAGAGAGAGAGAGAGAGAGAGAGAGAGAGAGAGAGAGAGAGAGAGAGAGAGTGGAAGGCGCATGCCGCCCGTTGGATCGCGTCGAAAAGCGTTTAGAACGTCGAAAGAATTCGCGAAGGAAGACAGTATCGGTTGATCGCTTCACGGCGTGTAATAAGGTTAAGTTCGTAGGAGCGTGATGCGGGAACGGTCGAGCGTGATGGCGAGAACGGTCGAGCGCGGCCGAGACTGGCCGAGATCGGTCGAGGTTTATCGAGGGGGGCCGAACGGCGCGCCGAACGTCCGCTGCCCCGACGACGACGTCGCACGCGTTCGCGCGTAAACGGCTTTTGACGTTGTATCGGGACCCGGTACGTACGTGTGCACGCATAAAGATATCGAATCGGAGATAACGAAAAGGTTGATAATAATGTGGTAACGTTAAACGTACGCGGCCAGATATCGTGGGAGCTATTCCGGTCGCTCGTTAACACGCGGTGAAAGTAAATAATAATCCCGGGCACAATAGAATTTTAAGACTCGTCGCGAACGCAACGCACGCCGCGCGCGCGCTGTTCGTCGCGCGTTTGCTGCCTGCCACTCGATGCGGGCTGAACGAAGCGTGATTTCGAAAATTTTTCGAGTGCCGATACAACGCGAAAAAAAGGAAAGAACTGCTGCTGAACACGTTCGACGCTCTGCGAAGACGGTAACACGAATTTGTTGCCCCGTGTAATCTATGGTCACGGTGAACACGCCATTTGCATACCGGTGTTGTTTCGTCATCGTGTACCCATTGTGAACCTGTTGCCGGCGATAAAGAAGAAAAGTCTAGCTGTACGCCAAAAAATGGGATCACGTTCCCGGTTCGACACAGGTCAGGTTGCTTCTGACGTGTTGCGCGCAGAGAGACCACGCGCGTGCAGAGAAATGCGCGTGACCCACGGTTACGTTGCATAATTGGATATCGCAGTCTCTACACCGGGCGCGTACACGCGTGCGCTTTCGTTCTTTCACCGTCTGCATAAAAAATCGCGGCCGCGAACGGCACCCGCATGCATCGCTTTCACATCCAAAAAAGAAAAAAAACATAGGCGCCCATATCGTCGACCGAATAAAAACTGCGCTTACGAAATGTCGCGAAATTCGTTCTCCCTCTGTTTACTACCATTCGAATCGGTTTTTCTCGCAATATTTCCGAAGGAGTCCAGAGAGTATTTACGCGCGCGCGATTTCAGCGGAGCGTGTACCGACGACGCGCGGCGAAACATAACCTCTTATGGAGCGAGGAACGCGCGCGTCGTAAAATATATTTCAGGATAATTCTATGATACAGAACGAGATAAGACGAAGCTCGTGAACAATGGGATAGCCCCTTTGCCAAGGGGGTATGCTTTTAACCCCTTAACCTACGATTTACGTTCGAGAATTTTCGGCCGAAAACGTAAACAAGCTCGCGCAGCCTTCGAGCCATTCGCACGACTTGTGTGATACCCTGATCGGTGCCAATCTTTTAATTTATACGTTTTGTGCAACAAAATAAATAACAAAAAAAATAATATATAACAATATTACGTTGACTATAGGATCAACATAGCCGAATCACTATTGAAGAATATGCCAAAATCGAATGATAGAGAACGAGGACGATTATCTTCCGGAGATATGCCAGAGAGACTGCACGAAGCATTGGCGCAGCATCGGACTCATTTTCCAAAACATATTGACCCAACAAAATTAAGACCGTTAAAACCTTGTAGGGTTTGCCAAAAAAAAATAAAAAACGTAGAGAAACAAAGTGATAGTGTAAGAAGTGCAAAGTTCCCTTAAATCTAGCAGAATGTTTCGAATTGCATTGCGGATTATTAATTTTGTATCACTGATTTTTATATAAACAAACTTTTTGCAGTACTTGTATCTACCACAATTATATTGCATCGGGTTGCAATTAATTATCAAATATTCCACAAATATTTATAATTTTAAAAGGGCGCCGCCGCTAATATTTATATTTGGCCCGATCATCGTACTACGGGCTATGTTGTAGGTTAAGGGGTTAACCCTTTGCACTCCAGTGGTGACTCTGAGACTCTTTTGAAATTGTTACACCACGTTCCAAGATAATTTTTATATATTGGGTTGTCCGGAAAGTTCATTGTAATATATCACAATTACTGAAAACAAATGACATGTGTACATATATTCTAAAAGAAATAACTTCAGCCATATTTGGAAAAAAAGTTTGGTTACGATTCGTTAATTTTTATCAGTTTTGTACGCCTTCGAATATGGTGGCAAATAAAGTGCATTATAGGCATTTAATGCTTTTCTTTTTCCGAAAGGGCAAAAATGCCACACAAGCGGCAAATAAGATATGCGCTGTTTATGGCGAGGATGCTGTAGCCGAAAGAACTGTGCGGAAGTGGTTTTCTCGGTTTAAAGCTGGAAATTTCGATCTTGAAGATCAAGAACGCCCAGGTAGGCCTGGGACTCCAGCACAGACGAAGATATGATTAGAACAGAAATCGAGAATAACCCACGCTCAACATTACGTCAATTAGCAGAAATGCTAAATAAATGAAAATCAACCATCCACGATCATACTGTGAAGCTTGGCTCCAATATTTACATGAGCTGCGTTTTAATTTTCCTAAAAAATCGGCGCGAACTTTCCGGACAACCCAATACTATCAAAAAGCTTAGATATAAAATGTATTGTTAAAAGTCTGACTGTTGTACGAGTCACAAAACTCGATTTCACGTGCACGAAAAATGCACTTTGTCGTATAAAACGGAGATACCACAAGTCGGAAAAGTTGACTGAAATTTACAATTAAAATGACTTCGAGTGCAAAGGGTTAATACCTCGAGAACAACATCAATCATCCCGAAGAAATGTGCGCAAAAGCCTTATAAGGGCGTTAATAAGTAAGAGCAAGATGAAAAAAGGAAACACTCACCCTCGAGCTTCATGCCGACTTCGAGGCACTTCTGAAAACGGCAGTAGGGACACCGTTTCCGTTGCGTCTTGTCGATGTGGCAGGACCTCTCGGCGACGCACGTGTAGACCTTCTTGTTTTGGACGGTGCGTTTGAAGAAGCCCTTGCACGATTCGCAGGTGAGTAGCCCGTAGTGGTATCCGGAGACCTTGTCGCCGCATACAGGACACAGCTCCTCGATCACGATGTCCTTGGTGTCGGGGAAGTCGGACGGACACGGTATCGAGCCGGTCACGACGCCGACCCCGACCTGGCCCAATCCAGGATGACAGAGGGTACCAGTTGGTAAAGAGTAGGTGGTAGTTGGAATGGCGACATTGCCGCTTACCGTAGCGGATCCGCCGCCCCCTGCGCCGCCCTGGGCACCGCCGCCGCCAGCGGCGGGGTTTCCAGCGGTGGGCCCACTGCCGCCAGCGGCACCCGCGCCACCGCTACCCGCGCCGCCCGCTCCCCCACTGGCGGGCCCTCCGTTATAACCGCTGCCGCTACTCTCGAGGGCCGTCGACGTTCCGCAGCCGCCGCCCCCTGCGCCGTTAGCCGCGCCGTTGCCGCCGCCATTACCGCCGGCCCCGCTTCCGGCCCCTGTTGGCGAGAACAGACACGTGTACACCTTCTTGTTGCCGCAAGATCCGATCTCGAGTGCCGAAGATGCGGCGCAGCTACCGGTCCCGCCGTTGTTACCGTTTCCCCCGCCTCCACCACCTCCTCCTCCTCCACCGCCACCGCCACCGCCGCCGCCGCCACCGCCGCCTCCGCCACCTCCCCCACCGCCCGTCGGCGAGAACAGACACGTGTATACTTTCTTGCTGCTGCACGGCGAGCTGTTGCGTTTGAAGAAACCCTTGCAAGACTCGCACGTGAGCAAACCGTACTGATAGCCGGACATTTTGTCGCCGCACATGGGACACCGTTCCTCCAGCGCGGTCGAGTCAAAGAACGCCGCGTCGAAACCCGAGATACCGGTCTGCGAATGCGCCTGGGTTTGTATCGACAGCTGTTGCTGTTGCTGTTGTTGCTGCTGTTGCGACTGCGACTGGTGACACATGGCGGTGGGCGGGCTTTGGGCGCAATTGCCATATGGCGAGGAGCCGTAATGCGATTGTTGTTGTTGTTGTTGTTGTTGTTGCTGTTGTTGTTGCTGTTGGGACTGTTGTTGACCGGCACCGGCCGCACCTTGGGGACTACCCTGCGGGCTTAGATGGAACGGCGACATATTCAGGGATATCAGGCCCGAATGCTGCTCCATCTCCAATAACATATCACCCTTGCGCAAGCACTGCACGGAGGAACGTGCTCGTGGCGTATCGGCTCATATATGATGCGGTCGAGGATACCCTTGGTACAGCTGACTCGGGCCAGAGTCGGTAACGATGTTACCTCTTTCTTTCTTATTTTCTTTTCTTTTCCTTTCTATTATCGCAAACGGCCTATTCGCGTGTTAATGTGTATGTGTGAATATGTACGCGTGTATATACGTGTGTGTGTGTGTGCAATTAGCAGCGACGGTTATAGGTTCGCTGTTAGTTTGCGAGCGAAAAACGGTGCGCGCACGAACTCGTGCAAGGTCGGTGGTACCTCGATGCTAGAGCACCACCACCGCCGTTAACGTACGACAGTGTAACGAGGATGACGACGACGATGACAACGACGACGACGACGACGACGAGGAGGACGACGACGACGACGACGTTGACAACATACACGAAGCCGATCGCATAAACACACTTTGGGTCCTCCCTTGGCACGTACGATAATATCGATCACCAGTCACGCTTCTCTCCGTGGCACACGTCAAAGAACGAACAACCCATCGCGCACCACTCGCTTCATCGTAACCGACGCGCGACTACGTCCGAATCATGGTAGTATGCGCGACGATGCGTTCCTATAAATAATACGGACGAAATGAAAGAGATGGCTTGTCACTGTCGCATGCCCCGTGGACGCGTCGCCTCCGTATGCTCGCGTAACAACAAACCAACAACCAGCACGTCGTCGTCCTTCGTTCCTATGTCTCGCCACTGATAATCCAGCGTTAGAATCGTGAACACGGAACAACAAACCGATCGGGGCACAAAACACGAAGCGAACGACACCGGCTGGTCCACGACGCCACCGGGGACCGCCTCGAGTGGTTCAGAACCGGACTGAAAAAACAATCGGGCCGGTCGTTTCCTCGAACACGCGAACCGGCGGTCGCTTTACGGGGCGATCGCGCATGCGCGCACGCGAGAACGAAGTTTTAACCCACGGCGTTTGTCACACAGAACTTGGCGGTAGTAACACCACGGATACCCAGCGAGGTAAATAGGGCGAGCAGAGAGGTAGCGCGCACTCACACTGTAATATAATCCAAAAAAAGTATAATATACTCCGTTGAGAGAGAGGGTGCCGTTAAAAGTCCGACTTGGCGCAAGCGAGAGTCGATCGGGTAAAACTTGCGAACGGCTACACCGAGGCAGAAGAATAACGAGAGAGAATGAGGGAGAGAACGGGAGAGAGAGAGAGAGGGAGGGAGAGAAAGAAAGAGAGAATAAAAGAAAGAGAGAGAGAGAGAGAGAGAGATCGCGAGAGAGAAAAAGAGAATCCTCCAGTACCCCGGACGCACGACTTGACAGCTCGGCTATCTGCGTACGACTAGTTGTCTTCTCGTCTTGTTGCTTTCCCGAAGGGCCCGCCCCCTCCCCGCAGCCGCCCTACCGTTGACACATGTAGGTAGGCAGTGTCGATAGATCGTCTCGCGAGACACACGTCACGTATATCACAGCCAGCAGCAGCAAGACGACGAAGACGACGAGATCCACACACGACGAGATCCACACACGACGGTCCCTGGGTTGTCGTTATTATTTTGTCCGGTTGCGCCGTACTTCCCGCGGCAGAGAGAAACACGCGTCACGTCGCGGCGGCTACACGTCGCCGAGAAAACCACGCGCGTATACCGCAGCAGCAGACACACACTGTGCTCGCGTTCGCGTTCACGATCGCAAACGAAACGGAACGAAACGAAACGAAACTAAACGCGACGAAACACGCTCGGTTTCGGCCGGCACACAGAGAGACGGATACGCGCGCTTCAACCGTGACACCGTCCGAAGTAAAATAAAATTGGCAGAACCGGGAGAGAACGGCGAGAGGCGCGCACCGTTGGGCTCCCTTGACGTTTCGGTGGGTATAGAGGAGAGGAGAGAACCGAGCGCGCGCGTGTCCCTTTACCGACGGGCACGGGTCGAGTGCGAGACCGCAGGAGCGAGAGAGAAAAGCACGGTCGTATAACCAACACAGCGCACGGCATAAGTGAAAGTGATTCAGCAGCGCATGCCACCGCGCGCGGCCAGGTGCCCGAAGGAGTAGTGGAGGTGCCTCGGAGGGCCCCGTCTGGTGGGGGGGTGACACGCGGCTCGGGAGGAGAGGGAGTGCTGGGCGAGGAGATGTCCGGGAGGCGGCGGGAGGTATTGCCGCGGTCGAAGGGATTCAGGGAGGAGGGGAGAAGGAGGTTGCACGCCGGATGGAGGGGATGACCTACTTACGGAACCAGGTCTATGTCGGCCGGAGAAGTATTGTCCCCGTACGCTCCCGCGCCGGTCTGCCGCCGTCACCGCCGCCGCCGCCGTTTTGTCGACCGTATTTGTCGTCGGTGCTGCCGGCGAATACCCCGACGCACGTGTGCACACGAGCCCGCACGGGATACGATGGGAATCGATACAAGACGAACCACCGACGACTTCGTCCGAACTCGATCTCACGGAGGATCTCATTTACGCGACGCGGCGGCACGGGTCGCCCGAAAAAATATCGGAGCCGATAAAACGACCGCCCGATTCGATTTACCCGATTCCCGGAGTCGTCCTTGATCGATGATCGAAACGAATTACCTTTTCCCCGGATGTGCCCGGAGTGGGACGCGCGCTCCGTGTATTAAAACGGCGCGTGTATCTGCGCGCGGTTATGTATTTCTTTTTTCCGCCGGCGACGAGGATAACGCGAGAAAGATCGGAATAGACGGTATAGAGTGCCGCGAACAACTCTTGCTTTCAAAGAGCACAGGGGAGCCAAACAGAGAGTCGCGGTAAGCGGGCACAGGGCAGGCGCACAGGCCACATACAGGCCGTGGCTGGGTCAACAGTAACGCCGTTGGCACTCCCCGACAGTGCCAGTGCTTCTCTGTGTGTACGTCGCAGTAGATGTACGACGCGAGAAGGTGGGGAGACCCACTGACCCAGTTCGCTGAGAACATGACGCAGCCGCGACTCACTCCCTCTCATTATGTCTTTCTCCCTCTCCCGCTCTCTCTCTCTCTCTTTCTTGCTCGCGTACACACATACTCTCTTTCTCTCTTGCTCCGTCCCTCCTCTCTACACCCCCTGTAACCCTCTGGTATCCAGCTCGCGCATCCCACCCTCCCATCTCGTCCTCCGTCACTGTTCCGCGCGCGCGGAGCCTGTCCTTATACTCTTCTACATGCTTCGCCACCCTAAACTCGCGCGGCTATATCTTTTTTTCCCCTCTTTCTCTTTCATCCTTCCATCTTCTGCCCGTTGTCCGTCTCGCTTTCTTGTCTTACCCTTGCTCCCTCTTTTTCCGCCATGTCGTCTTCGCCCGTTCTTTTTCTCGTTCCCTCCGTCCCGTTCCCGTTCTCGATCTCTTTCTCCGTCGACGGAGCGCGGTTATATTTTCTTTCTCCGACGCTACCTCTCTCGTGTGCCCTCCCCTCCAACCCCGTGCGACGCCCCCCCCTTCCCTCCGCCCTCTGCATCCTAGGCCCCCTCGTTCCGCCCCGCGCCTTGCTTATTCACTTCGAACGTAATTGTCGCGCTCTTTTCCGTCCAAGTAACCGTGCGCGCCTGCCGTAATAGCGTGTACACACGTTTACGTGCGGCGCGGCTCGGCTCGGCGCTCGGCCGTGCCCCGCGTCCATGTGTCCCCCTCGTACATGTGTGCGCGTGCATACGAGAGCGCGATCGGTGTGCGCGCGCGCGCGAGAACCGCACACAGTGTCATCGACGAATGCACGCGGGCAACTATTGCGAGCGTGTTGTCATCGTCGTCGTCGTCGTCGTTTTTCGTTGTTTCTCTCGTATTATATCCAGCGCGCACCCAGGTGCCTGCCTCGGAGAGGTTAGGCGCATCGCGGATGAACATCCGATGATCCTCGAATTTCACCTGATCGCTCCGAAGCAACGTCGGGCGGGAACCATTGTATAACCGTCGCCGCGTATATCGACGGCGGTCCCGTGCTCGAGCCGTGATCGCGAGCGGAAATCGTCCTCTTTCACCAACAAACGGAGAATCGACGCGTCGCCGAGTCTCTCGATTCGAGCACGATACCGCCTCCGTTCCATAGTTGTTACGTAACCACTTAAAAATATGTACACTTAATTACACGGGCGAACAGAAAAGCGTATACATGTATACATAGATACAGGGTGTCCCGAAAATGTCTCGCAGGTAATTCGAAGCAAGTTTGTCCTTGGAGAAAATGCGATCCGCAGCTTTGTTTACGAATTATTAACGAGAAAGAGCGACCAATGAGAGGTGTGAGGTATATGCTGGCGCAGGGCGGTCGAGCCAATGGGGCGGAACCGGACTTCGTGCGCTCATTGGCTCGGCCGCCGAGCGCTGGGCGAGCTCGCCTCTCATTGGTCAGCGTTTTTCGTGAATAACTCGTGAACGAAGCCACGGGTCACGTTTTCGCTGAGGAAAAAGTTACCTGGAATGATCCCAGGAACTTCTCATTTCAGGTTTGCGAGACATTTTTCGAACATCCTGTATATATATAGCAAGCAGCGGTGTCACAGCGAGCAGGCGAGAAAGAGCAGCAAGCTCGCGAAGCAAGAATTTCGGAAGCAGAAAAACGGTCGTACCTTCGGCGGATCGATTTACATTCCGACATGTATGTATGTACTATATAATATATATATAGTAGTATAGTAGTAGTAGTAGTATATATATATACTACTATTGTATATATATATACGTACGCTAGACTAGATACACGCGGATTTGATGCGACCGTAGCTCGTCGTCGTGGTTGGATTAGGAAAGCTTAGTCAGCTTTTATAAGCCTTTTGTTTTGTCCGGTGGCGGCCGATAAGAGAATCGTTTAAACAGAGTAAACAATTTTCTATCATCTACATATCCGCGTAACGATCCGCCGTGCAAGGTAGCGACAAATGTGCGGGGGACGACGAATTTACGCCGTTTTATGTGCCGTACCACCGTCCCGGCGAATTACATCCACCGTTTATTTTAATGAACCGAACAATAGAATGGAAGTACGCGCGACGTGTATACTACTCTGCAAATGCGAATCGAATAATTCAATGGAGCCGATTCAACGCTGGATTCACGGGATATTACGTGAAAATGACGGGTCACTGATTTTTTGATGCGATCATATAATATAATGATATAATATACGATCATATAATGATATAATATACGATCATATAATAAAATATAATATATGATCATATAATATAATATAATATAATATAATATAATATGATATAATATACGATCATATAATATAATAATAATATAATATACGATCATATAATAAAATATAATATATGATCATATAATATAATATAATATAATATAATATAAT